CTGACATAAATTTAGATTGTTACTGCTTTTTGCTATTATGAATGGTCCCTCTTAGATACACATTCTGGTAAGCATATGTTTGCTTTTCTATTTGAAATATATTATACACCTCAGTATGAAATTACTGCGTCATAGCTTGCTCAGCATTTATCATCATTACCAAATGTTTTCCCAAAGAAATGGTACTGCTTTACCATTCGTTTTGCCAAGACCTCTAGCAAACATTAACATGACTATCTCCTCAATAAACAAACACAATTAGACAAATAGGATTAAAAACAAAGACTTAGACTTAGTCCAGAGACATACATGTAAACAAATGATCAGATACATTACAGGTGACATAATGCACTGATATACTTCATCCGACCTTCTTAATAACCACAGGAGATTAAGTTAAACATCGTCACCTCCAATGTTGCTGTGAAGCAAGAGGTGCTTGAAGGGCACATCCCCAAGATGGATCACACCGCTGAGCCACACCAAATCAGAAACAGAACCTACGCATTCAACCTACTAATCTAGGGTTTATTTCTACTACAATGTCCTTAGTAGTTTATTCACAAATCAGGTCTACTGGAACCAGTCCAAAAAAAAAAAAAAAAAAGTACAAAAACTTCAATAGAAAGATGATGATCTAGGATCTAAGTACAACAAGTTCAGGCAGTAGACACGTATGTAGGTATAATTTAGGGACAGAGTTTGTCAATAGTTCTAAAGGGGGAAAAAACTGAATTTATTCCAATCTTCCTGCAGAAATAATTTCAAAACACACACCCCTAAACCAGGTATGGTTACACATACCTGTAATCCCAGCACTAAGAGGCTGAGACAGTAGGATATTGAGTTTGAGGCCAGCCTGGGCTACACAGTGAGTTCAAAGACAGCCTGGATGACATAATGACAGCCTGTCTCAATCAACCAATCAGCAAGCAAGCAAGCAAACTTAACTATTAATTCTTTTATAAACAAAATGATTTAAAAGTAAATTTAAACCATGTATGGTGATATATGCCTATAATCTCAGCACTTTGGGAAGCTACAGCAGAAGGGTCACAAGTTCAAACCTAGCTGGAAAATATAGCAACTTTGGAAAACCCAGTCTCAAAATAAAAAATAAGGTGTGTGAGAGGGGATCGTGTGTGTGTGTGTGTGTGTGTGTGTGTGTGTGTGTGTGTGTATGTAACTCAGTATATATTCCCTGAGCTCACAAGTAATACAAGACAGTAATTTACAAATTCATGCACAAACCTAATATTCCTAACCTACAGTCCATAAATGAGTTCAGGGCTATATATCCCTGAAGTAGAAGCACACTGTAGGGGCCGGGGAGATGGCTCAGTGGAATAAGCGCTTCCCTGGCAAGAGCAAGGGCCTGAGTTCAATCCCCGGTTCAAAAAAAAAAAAAAAAAAAAAAAAAAAAAAAAAAAAAAGACGCACACTGTGAGCCAGGATGGGTTTGTTTTTTTCAATGAAAAAGATCTAAAGCTTTCACCAGTCTTGAAGGTGTCTATGACTTTCAAAAGATACAGTACCACAGACTTAAAATATCTTTTTCTATTCAATATAGGAACTACAACCATTTTCACTACACTACCTATATAATACATTTTACGCTCTTACATTATATAAGTCTGTGAACAAAAGGTGCTAAAAGGGCAGGTGAGATAGCTCAGCAGACTAGGTGCCTGGTTAGGCAAGCACAGGGACCCCTGGCCCTGCCCCTGGGTACCTGAGCTAGCAACAGAGACAGGGCGTAGAGGCACAAACCTGTAATCCCAGCTCTGGGGAGGCTGAAAACAGAAGGATCACTATGAGTCCAAGCTGTGTACTGAGATCCTGTACCAAGTACATTAAAAAAAAAAAAAACCTCAAAATGTGCTAAAATACATAAACAGCATGTCACATATAATGTCTCCTGTGACGATAAATACTTGTCTTTTCCTTTAATGTATTCAATCTACATAGGATTCACCTAAAATTAAACTAAAATGTAATGTTGGTGTTTGCCTGGTCCAACTGAGTGGATTCCTAAGGAGAAAGAGCAGTAAAAGGGCACCTGTGTGCATGTTTGACTCACAGCCAAAAGTGGTGTTTATGGAAAACTTCAGATGGAGCAAGGAGGCATTCAGCCAACAAAATCTACAGCTGTGAGACTTGGGAGTTTACAAATGCCCAATCTCCAAAAGCAAAAGCGGAATTATGGGGCAGACTTTGAAGCTTGTTTATGTGCAAACTTTTGAAACAAGTGACTTTGTATTCCTCCATTCAGATACCTATTCTCAGATCAACGCTAAGAACAGGTCCTAACCAGGAAGAAACACTGAAAGTGAATTCCACCAAGTATTGGTATTTACTGTTCCCTAAAAATTTACTTGTAAATAAAATTCAGGGTGGTTAAGATAGAGAAGTTTAAATTCTTTACCCACACATTTGCAGCCTAAGCATGGAGAGATAACAACCTGCTCTAATGGTTAACAGTCCTTTTTAGGACTGTTCAGCAGTTTCTGGCTAGAGCGGGACAGAAAGCCTCCTCAAGAGGCTGGCATCTGTCCTGTTCTTCGCAGTCCTCATGCTCACTGTCTGCAGGTACACACAGCCAGAAGCTGCCTGACATCTCTGGAGCAGGCTATCATTACCAAGAGCTTAAGCAAGAAGAACTGAAAGAAACAAGATATCTTTGAAAGAAAGCTAAGTACATCACAGAAGAAAGAACCCAAGAGCATTTGCCTCACATGCACAGGATTCTAGATTCAACCTCCAGCGCTACAAAAAGAAAACCAAAAGGTAGAACCAGGAGGAGAATGGAGAAGGCAGAAGGATGGATAGACAGTCAGTATACATATGTATCTCAAATGTTTTGTTTTTCTCAAGAACAATGTAGTATATTTATGTGTTATACAGAGGATTACTAAAACCAGAAAGAAAATCAAATCCCTTTTAGGACTGAAAATTGGATTTCATTAAAATAATTTTTTTTTAAACTTACCTAGTCTTGACACGTGGCTTAACTGTAATTTTTAAATAAAACATAAATCTCTATCAATGAAAAGGTACCAGTCCGGGCACGGTGGCGCGTGCCTGTAATCCCAGCAACTTGGGAGGCAAGAAATCAGGAGGATCACTACTG